TAATCCGCTTTATTTCTTATACCCCAAACTAACACATCATAGAAATCTCCCTTGCAAAATTCTCTACGTTTGCCCCGGAAAAGGTTGTTCAGATGATTATTCATTGCGACAAGGATGTCTTGGATAACCCTGTTGTGATGGACTTTTTGATTAGAGATGACATGTGTAACATTCCAGAGAACACGGCAAAGCTTATGGCACCATATAGTAAAGATTGGACTGGGCCTGATGCAAACAAGGAGAATCGCGAATCGGACCCGAACGAATTGACACGCGAAGATCAAATTTATCTACAGACGGCCTTCGAATTACGTCATTACTGGAAGTCAAGAATCAGAGCGCTTTCACTTACTCGTACTTTTGAACAAGAATATGACGATATATCTGACAAGCTCAAACAAGTTGTTGCAGTATCCGAATCATTACGAGATTCCGTATCCTTGATGAATGTCCTGGGTTTGATTCTTGACATTGGTAACTACATGAACGATTCTAACAAACAAGCGAGTGGTTTCAAATTGAGCTCTTTGGCACGATTGGGAATGGTTAAGGATGACAAGAATGAATCGACCTTTGCTGATCTCGTTGAACGCATTGTCCGAACACAATACTCAGAATGGGAAGGTTTCACTGATGATATCGGTGGGGTTGTTGCAGCACAAAAGTTGAATGTGGAACAATTACAACAGGATGCCAGACGATATATTGACAACGTCAAGAATGTTCAAATGTCACTTGATTCGGGTAATCTTAGTGATCCAAAGAAGTTTCATCCACAGGATCGTGTTAGTCAAGTGGTTCAACGGTCGATGAAGGATGCCAGAAGGAAGGCTGAACAGATGCAATTGTTCTTGGAGGAGATGATTCGAACTTATGATGATATCATGGTCTTTTATGGTGAAGATGCTGCTGATGAGAACGCAAGGAGAGAATTCTTCGCTAAGCTTGCAATTTTCGTAACGGAGTGGAAGAAGTCGAAAGAAAAGAACATGATTTTGGAAGCCACAAGAAAGCGAAATGAGGAATCCATGAAACGAAAGCGAGCACAAATAAATGTTGGTGCCACGGCATCTGCTGGGCCACCTTCACCAAGTTCCACAGGTGCTATGGATTCCTTACTGGAGAAATTGCGAGCTGCAGCACCACAAGCTCGCGATCAAAGAGATCGAAGACGAAGGGCACGATTGCAAAATCGTCATCAAGTTCGAGTTGCATCTGGTCAAAAGATTCCTGATCCGGATGAAATACCAGAAGCTGAAATGGGACTCAAGAGTCCTGAATCAGTTAGCACAGAAGGTTTATTGAGCCCTGACTTACCACCCCCGAGGGAAGTCGAAAATGAAACCGATGATGTTGCTGATAGAGCAGCGCAATTATTACAAGGCATGAGAGGAGCTGATGGGGCTGATGAAGGGGAGGGAGATACTGCCAGAAGGGATAGTGCTAGAAGATCCAGGAGGAGAAACAACGCAGAAGAAGAAAGAAACGAAAGACGAAGACGTAGACAAAAGGCTACAAGTACTTCCGAAGCTGCTATACCAGGGACCGAAGAAGAACCGAACACGGAGGAGAAGTTGAAGGAAACCACGATATTGGTACCGGGGGCACCGTCATCTGAGGATGGTGAGAAACTGCTTACGCCAACGATGATTGTGAGCCCGCCTGCAGATTCGGAAGTAGAGGGGTCCCCGCAGAAACCAATCGAATTAGATGATTGATAAAAATGTGGATGTTGAGGGACTGTAGATTATGGGGATAAAAATAGGGACGAGACGTGATATGAGAATTAAGGCCTTTTAATGTCTAGTACTACTTCAAAGAAGGATTCTTTTACGTCAAGATATTTCTTGTACCTTATTTTCTTGACTGGCATGGATGAGAGGATGGGTGTGGGGAATGGCTTCATGTTCTCGGGATGAATGGATGGATGGATGGATGGATGGATGGAGGGAGGGAGGAAAATAAGGAAGGAAGAAAGGGGGAAATGAGAAATAGGGGGATGGATGGAGGGGGAGTTCAAGAGAATTACTTACTTCATTTCTGCATAGCGTGCGTGGTGAATGGTATCGGTACTCATTAATTTGATTGCCGGTTTGACTTTTCTTTTTATACGCTTTGTGCAATATAGTTCATTGGTGTCTGGGCGACTAGACGGATGAATGAATGGGTGTTGTGAGAGTGTGAAATTATCGGGGAGGAGATAGTAAGTGGAGTGTGTGGAGAAGAAGGATACATACTTATATTGTTTTAATTAATAACAATGAAATGATGGAAGAAGATCTTTATAATTTTTTTTTTTTTGCTTGGTAATTGGTGCTGTGTGATTCGCTTTGTGGGGGGTGTCAAAGTAGGTTACGAGATATGCTGGTGGGTTGATGTGGTGGTGAGATGGGAAGGGATGGGATGAGGTTGGATGAGGTTGTTAGAAAATGCCAGTGCAATTTTCTTCATCTTGACGAATGCTGGAGGGGTGGAGGTGTGAGGGGAGGGATTAGGGGTAAGAGGCGGGAGGGCGGTCGGATATTTTTCGCTAACAGTTGCTTTTTATTCCTCTTCCGGGGACGAAATTATGGGTGGGTAGATTAGTGGGGAAGATGTGCGTTCATTTGTCGTAATGTTTTAAAGATTTTTTAAAGATGTGTTAAGGACTGTGTTAAGAGCTGTGTTGAGGGCTGTGTTAAGGGCTGTATTCATCTGTATCGTTGTCTGGGGATGATACTGTGATACTGTGATTCTGCAGGCTTGAGAGGGAGGGGGGCTCTGGTGCTTTTTAGGGAGGAGGAGGGAGGAGGGAGGAGGGGGGAGGGGGAGATGTGCTGGTGGAGGAGAGGAGAAGGGGAGAGGATGAGATTGAGATTGAGAGTGAGATTGTGGCTTGAGGGGGATTGCTTGGGGTTACTTGGGGTTACTTGGGTTTACTTGGGGATAATTTGGGGATCAGTTGAGGTTAGTTTGAGGTTCGTTTGAGGGTAGGTAGGTAGGTAGGTAGTTTGGGATTGTCGATCGATTTTGTGTGGGTGGTTTGCTGTGGATTTGGTGGATGAATTGTATTTATTATGTTTAGGTATTTGTATTTGTATTTGTATTTGGAATGATTTTAGGAGATGGATGGATGTATGGATGTATGGATGTATGGATGTATGGATGTATGGATGTATGGATGTATGGATGTATGGATGTATGGATGTATGGATGTATGGATGTATGGATGTATGGATGTATGGATGTATGGATGTATGGATGTATGGATGTATGGATGTATGGATGTATGGATGTATGGATGTATGGATGTATGGATGTATGGATGTATGGATGTATAAATGGATCTAATCTGGTTTGTTGGGTAGTTAATGTGGTGGGGGTGCTGGGATGTGTTGATTGTGGTTAGGCTTGTAGATGGGATTTTGTGGTTTAATTGTGGTTTGGGAGGGAATGGTGTGGGTGTGGATGTATGTATGTATGTATGTATGTATGTATCAGAGCTTTTACCCTCGTAGCTACCAGGTGGCTAGTATACTTGATTAGTTAATGCATCTCTGATGTGTTCAATCTAGTCTATGATTCCCGCTTTATGTTGTAGAGAGGTAGTTAGTTGTATTTGGGAATTTTTGTGGAATGAGATATTATTGATATGATAACTTAAGATAGATGGATAGTTGAAAATGGGGTTGGGTGTGATCTGATGGTTTACTTTGATGTGATGGGAAATCTAGATCTTGAATGAGAGTTGATCGAAGGGGGGGGATAGAGGGGGGCTTGGCTTTATTTGGTGTTTGTGTCGAAGACTTGTGGAGCTGGGAGGGGAATGGTTGGTTGGTTGGTTGGTTTTACTAGTACTTGAGGGGGTGGTAGGGAGTAGTGTAGTCTTGTGTTATTGAGGAATGTGTAGGAGGGATATTGTAGAGTCGAGTGGAGTGGAGAGGTTTGGGGAAAGTGGAAGATGTGCTTGGTGTTTTAAGCGAGATGGTTGATTTCACTGATGTTTGAGTGTATGTTGAGTAGTAGTGTCATGTCAGTGAGAAATGTGTAGGAGAAGTGTTGTGGAGTGGAGAGGTTTGGAGAAAGAGGAGATATACCCAACATTTCAGAGGGAATACTCAAGACCACTAATGATCGAAGGCGGGCTCAGCAGCAGTGCTATATCATTAAGGAACGTTCAGGAGTGATACTGCAGAGCCTAAAGATCTGGAGGAAGGGAGAAAATGCCTAGTATTCCAAGGGAAATAGTCATCCCATTAATGATCAAAGGCAGGCTCGGCATTAATGTCATATTATTGAGGGTTGTATGGGAGCAATGCTAAAGACAGGCGAGATCCGGAGGAGATGGAAGATCTGTCGGAAATTTTGAGGAAAAGTATTTTTTGAGGAAGTCGAGGAGTTTGGAGACAACTAGTATAACCTAGAGATTTCTTGCTGTAAGTCTGAGCCTTGGTAGTACATTGAAGAATTTTGTATCTTCTAGAGATGACAAGTAGATGGGAAGCTTTACAATGAGAACCGGACTCGTAGCTTCGAGAGAATGTTTTTACGTGTGGATGTGCAGAGCGAGTTGGTAGAAACATGATGCTGTCTCAGAACATGCATTACATTTGGACGTTTGACATGGTCGAAGGTGAAAGTTGATTCACCATGGCCACTCATTTCAAATTCGGTTACCCCGCAATCTATCTCTAATTTCTTCTTGCCTTTTGTTACTATCTTCAGCTTCTCCACCTTCTTGAGTTTTGATCCTTGTAATATCGTTGATAACCTCGAGAGATCTCGCAACTGCTTCGTCTGTTTACTTTTCAAACAGACTTGGTAGGCTGATTCCTCTCTAACAGTTTTTCGTTGTTTGAGATTCTTCACTTGTTGCTCAACTTCTATGATGATTAGCTCTCCGTACCTCTAGATCTATTCACCCAGATACTCGGATTATCATAATTTGGCAACACAAAGCTTTCTACATTCGATACTTCAGTTCTCAATTTTAATGAACACAACTCAAGATTTTTCTCATCATGGCTATCTTAAAAACAAAACTGGGCAAGGTGGAGGTCCGAATCAAGAGGTATCCGGACGATACATATTATGACGAATATATCAAAGTTGAGGGCAAGGAGAGAAGCACTGATTTTAGTCGTGAGAGGTATATCATTGCAGAGCCCGACATCACCTTCTATATTGAAGTTATCTTGAAGGAGGGATTCAAGATGAGCAAATATAGCTCCATTGATGCCCGTGTTTACGTGGCCGATAAGGATAAATTTATTTCCTCAACTACCCTTCTATCGAGTGATATTGAAGGTTCAAAAAGAAAAGCAAAAACAGATCACATTCAAAAGATGCAGTATGTTGATGTAAAAATTGATGGTCAGAAAATACTTGGTGCAAGATTTGCGTTCAAGAAAATAGAGATCGGTCAGTGAACAGATCAATTTTTATGATTGATTAATCTCTGACGGTTGATGTGATAGACGAGACACTTTTCAATGAAACAGATATCATGGGTATCAAGCCGGATCATCTTATGACGTTCACCGTGAAGCTGTTTTTCTTCAAAAGGTGTACTACTAGACTCTCGGACAGTAAGTACGAAAAGGTATTGTCAGACTGGGAGAAAGCATGTTCGGATATTCGGACTCCAAACTGCAATCAAATGAAGCACAATGCTGAGCTTGATGATAACGCCAAAACGAACAAGCTCGACACCAAAGATATCTGGGACGTGAACAAGATTGACCAAGATAGCTACAAGAAGGGTGGAATCAGCTCTGCTATTGGGTAACTATAGTTTTTACTGCGTTTATATAATAAAAGCTTACATGTCTAGTTTCATTGGGGCAAAGTGCGGCCAAAGGTTTCTCGGGATTCTATTCACAAATCGGACCACATTACTTTCCCTATAAAGCCAAGCCGTACTATTACCACTTGCACTCCTACAGCTGCCTCTGGAATATTTACATATCATGGTAGAACCGCAGGTCAGTCACTTCTTTACCAGGCATAACATCAGTATACTGATTTATCTGGTGTACAGAATTCTTGGAGCAAGTAGGTATCATCAAATATCCCCCAGCGCTTCACTGTTACTCCTGGAGTATCTTAGATGATAGTGAAAGAAAGATCGCTCTGAGTGAGTTGCAAGAATTGAGCAAGAAACAATGGCATGAAGATCGAGAAAAAGAATCTGGCATGGTGCTTCCCATGGTTCGTAGCAGGGTCAAGGCAAGGGAGCATCCATGGGAATGGCGCCATTGGGACAAGATGTACGTTGGGGAGAAACGGGTAGCATTTGAGAATCTTCAGGTTTGTTTTAAATCCTTTATATAATTGCAGGTGAGATCGCTAACACTCTTTATCAGAATGAAAAGAAAAATCGAGAGCGAGGTATCGTCCAGCGTGAGTTTAAAAACGTTATGGGCGAAATCATTTCTTTAGACGTAGAAGACGACGAGCCTTCCAGAAAGCCTCTCGAAAGGGGTAGATACAACACAAAAAGAGAGAGAGCTAAGTCTGGTAAAGAAGGCGTACGCATCAAGCGTGAAGCAATTCAACGTGCTATGGCGAACTCGGATGTGATACAGGTCACAACTGCAGATATCGCCGAGCAGAAAACAGCTAATGTTGATGAGGACGATGATTCGATTATCATTGTCTCCGAGACCAAGAATCCAATTTTAAGCCCAGCTCCGAAGGGAAAGGAAATTGCACTTGAGGACGAGGAGTTGAGAAAGGAAGAGGCTGCACTTGAGAAACTGAAGGAAGACATCGCGCAAGAAGAGAGAGTTATCAAAATGAAGCGGGAGCGTGATGCTTTGCAGGAGAAAATTGATGCAGCGAGATCTAAGAAGCGAATCAAGACAGAATGATTAAAAGGTCTGATTCTCAATGATATTAAGTTATTGGGTCTCATCTGGTCAGCGACGGACATTTTTTATGGGTTGAACATATTTTCGTAGAGAGAGGTTCCAATATACTTATCATTTTGTTTTTACAACTCTCTTTACCTTAGTTCTTAATCAGTGGCAATACAGAGGCTCAATCTTACTATTTCACCAGCGAGTGAAGTATATAATATGAATAACCCCATGATATTCTTATACTACACACAATAATTTGTAATTACACTACCTAGGTAGCTAGATGGCATTCGTTATGATGATTCACTTCAAGTCCCGTGACTCTTCAATATCCTTCTCTTTCGCTTCACCTTCGCCTTCACCTTTTCTTTCCACCTTCAAATTTCAATCAACGCAGCCTTACTAGAATTTGTGAACCTTGCAATTGCCCTATAATACTTGGTCCTGGCAGCATCTGGTATGTATATATTTTGATTGATGGTTCAAATTAGAGTCTTTTCTATTCTTGCTAATTTTGATATCTCACAATCAGTTTTCACGCTTTGCGAGTTTCCAAACGGAAAAGACCTCAGCATATTCCCGAATCAAGAATTGTATTGCTCAGTCTTTAATAAAGCCTTCGAGTATCACGAACACGAATTTACCGACTCAAAAGCGTTGCTCATCATGGCTATCATGTCTGGTATAGAGGGCGAGATCGAAGTACGTGTGAAAAAGCATCCAGGTAAATATTATGACGAATACGCCAAACTCAAACCTAGTGAAGGGTCTCCCAATCCGCATGATGAAATATATATCATGGCAGAGCCTAAAGCTACGTATTATGTCGAGATCACCTTAAAGGAGGGGTTTGATTTCGGCAAATACGATCTTATTCAAGCCAAGATGTGTATGGACGGCAAGGAAGTTTCTTATGCTGAATTTAAGATGCCTCTCCATGGAATCAATAAAACAAAAACAGAAAAAGATATTGTCCAAACAATTCGGTACGCCAATGTAGAGATTCATGGAAGACCGCGAGGCTCAAAGTTTGTGTTTAGGAATGTGGAGATGGAGACAGGTAAATGGATAATGGCACGTATGATCATTCTAAGCTTACAATGACAGATAAAGAACAGTCCAATGATACTGGGGCTGTAGATACACTTCCAAAAGGCATTCCAGCTTTCCAAGTTGACGTTGTCTTCTTTGAGAGCTTTATGGTCACATTATCTGACGACGAGTACAAAGAAGTGATAATAAGCTGGAAAAAGAATTGCGCTAGACTTTTTTCTGAGCCTCAAAACTCCAATGCGTCTCCAAACTTTACGTTACCTAGAAAGCCAGACCGCACTAGGAAAGATTGGCGATGTGTCCATTGCATGGAGGGGTTTAAATTCTTTCCGCGACCCGCTGGTATTTACGCGTTCTGGGTAGATCGATATCTCATCACTGACATAATGTGCAGAGTTTTTTTGAAAACGACAACATTGCCAAATACCCAGTAATACTACACGTTTATGATTGGGACGCCCTCAAGAGAGAAGAGAGAAAGATGGCAGTTGCGCACCTTCAGGATTTGGGAAAGACTCATTGGAAGGCCATCAAGGGAAACGAAGTCGGGCAAAATTTTGGATCCAAAGTCAACCGACGTAAAACTCATCTTGCAAAGAATCTGCCTAGAGAATGGCGTGCGTGGCAAAAAATGTATGGTACCGAGCAACGCGAACATTCGATATTCTCCAGGTACTTCCAAATCTATGCATACAGAGAATATGGCGCTAACAAATATTATCAGGAACGAAGAAAAGCCCGTGAACGAGGCGAAAAAAACTTTCAGTACACATCTATGGGTGGCGATGTCATTTTATTTAATGGAGAAGATGAATCTGCTGAGTTAGGAGGGGTACCCGAGAAAGCTTCGCCTAAACAAATACCTGCCGGACGAGAAGCACCAGCACCCTCAAACTCACCATCTGACGGAAATAGATTAGGACTAGTATGTGCTTTGCCATACTCGTCACCGTATCCAATTAAAGACGTGGTGCAAAGCGTGGGAGATGCAACTTCACTCAATATGAGACTACCTCTGACAATTGAATCGCCAGTAGTCATCCCAGACGATTCTGCTACAGAGTCTGCTCACTCCAATATTACTACACCGCACAGAAACAAGACAGTGATTCCAGGAGTCGAAGTCAAGCTCGAAAGCATTCGTGATAGCTTGATCAGCCAGATTGATAGACTCAATTCCCAAGCGGCTGCTTCTCAAACTTCCGTTGCATATGTCAAGGCCGAACCCATCGATGTTATCTCACTTGATCCAGACGATGAAGTTATGTTTGTATCCGAGACCAAAGTTTTCAAACTGTAAGACATTCTGAGCCGTAAGAGCTGCGAAGCCATTAGTTGTAAATGTGGATGATGATTTACAGGAATTGAAAGAATTACAAAAGTTGAGGGAGGAGAAAGAAAATCTTCAGAGAGATATTGAGTTGTTGGAAAGAAACGAAAGATGGATGAAATCACAAAAAAGATCGAGGATGCAGAGGCGAAGACTAAGAGAATCAAGACGGAGTAGATGGCTTTTATTTTGTGTATGTTGTTGGGGATATGGGGATGTATTTCTGGAATCTGGGGTGCAATGATGAAGCTGTTGATGTGGAAGGCGATTGTGTTGATTTTGTGCTGGACTCAGCCTATTGTATCCTAAATTCTTGATTGTGAAGTCACATAGCATAGTAGTAATAACAAGAGTAAAATGATGTCCAACCGTTGAATTGATGGAGATGTATTCATGCAGTTGGTGTGTGGTAACCTAGGATAGCACGAGAGTAATGTCTTGAGAAAAGGAATCATGCCAGCGCTTTTTCTTGCTTCCCACAACACAACATGTAAACCTCAAGTCAACTGTTTTTCTTTTCGCATTCACTTCTACTTCCTCATTTTTTCCTCTTGATCTTTAAATCTTCGTTCACTTTACCGGGTACTAGTGAGATACGCTAAGCCAATTTGTGCTATCCTCCACAACCACATCCGACTTTCTTTCAATCAACAACACATCGACAAATCATATACTGCAACTCTCATCATGGCCATCCTAACAGAGGGTGGTAATGAGGATGAGGTTCAGATCGTCAACGCTGTGACAGGTCAGTCCTTCGAAGAGTATATCATGTTAGGAGATCAAAAGATACATGGCGACGGAGAAACTGAACGTTACATTACCGCGTATCCTGGAATAATGTTCAAGATTCAGATCACTTTGAAGGCTGGTTTTTGCTTCCAGCAATTTGATGCAGTCGAGGCAAACCTTTATTTCAAGGGACAGAGTACTTACTGCAGTCTAGCAGTTCTGAGTGACCCAAACCCAGATCATGCACACACCAAACAGGATCTGAGAATGGAGATCGGTTGTGTAAACATGAGCAACTACGGTAAAAACGTCATCGGCGCTCCATTTGTCTTCAAGGAACTCAAAATCGATGAAACTTTGTCGGGTCAGACTGATATAATCGGCGTTAATCCTATCGACCTCGGAAGCTTTTTCGTCAGACTTAATCGTCGAAGAAATGATCCAATACCAAACAATTGCCTCTCAAAAGATACCACCACAGCCTTGTGGAATGCCGAAAAGGTTGACAAGTCGAGTTTCAAGAAACAAGGAATCACAAACTCTATCGGGTAAGAATTCAAATTCTTCAAGCTTCTCTTCCAATCTGACATCTCAAGGTTGGGTCAGAATCGAATAGCGACTAAAGAATTTGTGGTCTCCTCCTACAAGTTCACTACTTCGGTTCCCCTCATATTTCATTTCACCTATCGTAATTTCGGTATACTTCCTCGCCATTCATCGACTATACATTACTGACCGTATTACTTAGGCTTTCTCGAACGTCCAGACGTTGTCCCTTGTCCGCCTCCCCTCTATCACAGCCCTTGGAAGTCTCTTACTGACATAGAGCGCCGATGCGCCTTGAGAGAATTACAAAATCTTTGCAGATCGCGCAGAGAGTTGTCCCCCGGCTTTAAACGTGAGTCTAAAGAATGGCTTGCTTGGAATGATATGCAACCATCAGAGAGAGAAACTGTGTTTTGGAGCTTGCAGGCATGTCAATCTTTAACACCAACAGATGACTTTCGCTAATATATGGAAATATAGAAAGAACAGAGAAAATTTGAGAGAGGAGTGATCACAGGATACTTCTGTGTTTTGCCTGGTGACAGATCGATCATTCCGGATGAAGATGGCACTGCCCAGCAATCTGCCCATCCTCGCGAATTGGCCAAAATCAAACCCAAATCTCAAGGTCCACCGAACGCGATCAAGCAGGAGATGAAACCCCCAAAAAAAGTTCTCACACGGAATTCCAACTGCAAGATAACCGGAAAGCAAAGGATGAAAGAGGAGCATCCTCATTTAGATCATGCAGACTGGCCTCTGGAGAGCCGTTGGCAAAGAGACGAAAGATCGCGCAGGAGCCAATTGATGCGGATACTACTAACAATGCTACGACCAGACAAGAATCAATAGGTTCCGGAATACTCGACGAGAAGGCTATGGTTATCAGTAAGAAAACGCAATGAATAACGATCTGATCGAGCTCGTAGATGCTGTAGTCCTTCTGAAGCCATCAACGCCAAGTGCTAACCCCGAGGATTCCAATTTATCTGGAGATGGGCGGAAGAAATATTGCGACAACGGCTGCTGAGTTCGTGCGAATCAGAGGATAGGAGAGGACATCATACCTATCATCACGCAGATGTTGTGTAGAGACGAATGTTAGAAGCTATGGCTCGGATGTAGCTCAAGAGGGCGGCTAGCGTTGGTGGCAAATCGTAGCTTTTGTAGAATTTGATTACACCAAGACATGGTCGATGTATAATTCTAATGTGTTACGTATCAAGCTTTACAAATACTAGCTGGGGTAGCTCTTCATTTCTACAAAGTAATTTAAGGCGGGGCGAGGGTCGATGTCGATAGACAGGGTGTGCGTTTAGTGATTGAATTTAGCCTGCATGCACTTCCCCCACCTCAATTTATCCCCGGACGACCGCGTCCCACTCAACGCGATGCAACACACTCAATGTAGATGTTTGCTGTCGGCATATCATTCTTACGAGGGTAAGTATGTCATCATACAATCTAAATATCATCATGTAGGTACTTATCTTCTTCCTTTCATTTTACATCTTGAGTTTGGCTTGCTGCGGACTCAAGTTCAAATTCGCGTCAATATCCTTCATCATGGCATCCCAGAAACAACTAACATTAGGCTACAACACCAAACATCCCTTCTCCCTCATTTCCATCAATGATCGAACATCTGTTCAAAATCTCCTCAAAACCCTTCTTGATCCCCTCAAACCTCATTTCTCCCCGCAAAAAGCTTTGATCCGTGTACCTGGTTCCACTGCCGTCCGTTTCGATGCGCGTGCTGCTGAGATTGAAGGGTTTTGTCGACCATTATGGGGATTAAGTTCGCTTCTAGCTGGGGGGGGAGAATACGAAGGGACGGAATGGTGGATTGAGGGATTGAAAAAAGGTACTGATCCCGAAAATGAGGAATTTTGGGGGGAGCCCAGAGATAATGATCAAAGAATGGTGGAGATGTGTCCTTTGGGATTTGCATTGGCTGTTGCACCGGTTTTCTGGGAGAAATTGAGTGAGAAAGAGAGAGGGAATGTGGAGACGTGGTTGGGAAATTCAATCAATAGTAAGAAGTGAGTTTTGATGAAAATGGGGAGCAAGGCAAAGTATTGACCAGTTTTAGCATGCCGAATACAAATTGGTTGTGGTTTCGAGTCTTTGCAAATCTAGGATTGAAGAAGAACGGAGGGAAAATTTCACAAGAGAAGATCGAGCAAGATATCGTTCATTTGAATTCTTTCTTCCGAGGAGAGGGATGGTCAAATGATGGACCTGAGGGGATTTGGCAACAAGATTATTACAGTGGAAGTTTTGCTATACAGTTTCTTCAACTATTATATGCAAAATTGGCAGGCGATGAGGATCCAGAAAAGGCTGCAGAGTTCAAGAAACGAGCTCAAGATTATGCATTAGACTTCATTCATTATTTCGATGAAGAAGGAAGAGCAACACCATTTGGAAGAAGTGTCGGATACCGATTCGCTATGTCTTCATTCTGGGGTGCTTTAGCATATGCTGATGTTGAATTGCCAGAACCATTGTCATGGGGTATTGTTAAGGGATTGCTATTGAGAAATCTCAGGTGGTGGCAAACTCAAGATCAAATATGGAGTCCTACTGGAACCTTGACTGTGGGATATTCTTTTCCAAACATGTTTATGTCGGAGAATTATAATTCACCAGGAAGCCCATATTGGGCATGTTTGGCATTCATTTGTTTGGCTGTTCCCCAGGATCACCCATTTTGGACATCGGAAGAAGAACCATACCCAACGAACTTGCTCCCAACCATCAAAGCTTTGAAACATCCTGGACATATCATCAGCTACCTGGGAGGTCACAAGATGATACTCTCTTCAGGTCAAGCATGTTCATATCCTATGAGAGGAACACATGCAAAGTATGGATCTTTTGCGTACAGTAGCACATATGGTTATTCTGTGCCTACAGGATGCTTTTCGTTGGAACAGTTTGCATTGGCTTCACAGCTCGGTTTATCTGATGATGGAGGTGAAGTTTGGAAAACCCGCCGACTTTACGAGACAGCAGTCATTGAGACGCACGATAAACAATCAGTATTGAAGTCTATCTGGAAACCGTTCCCGGATGTTACTATCAAGACTTATCTCATACCTCCCGTCGACGAAACTCCAAACTGGCATCTTCGAGTTCACAAGATAGAAGCTGGAAGAGAAATCATGACGGCAGATGGCGCATTCGCAATTTATAACGAACGAAGACCGGATGGTCGCTCCCTTGATCTTTACGACTCAGCCAAAAATGAAGGTACACTTCCCAAGATCATTGGAAATTACGATCTCAACACACCTGAAGGTAGTTCGCCAGGCTCAGTCGGTGCCTTTGCTGTATCGAAAGGGGCGGTTGGAATAGCTGCACTCGAAAGTGATGGTGAAGAGCAGCTCGCACGGCGATGCTCGTTAATGCTGACCCAAATTCTAATTTGGTTGAAAGTCGTACCGTGATACCTACATTACAGATCACGTTGGAAAAAGGAAGTGTGTCTTGGTTTGTGACTGGTATATATGCTAAGCCCTCTGGGGAAGCAGAGAACTATCTTGATGGGTGGAAAAATAAACCTGTCGTTCCCGGGTGGCTGATGAATGAGATGAGAAATTGAGTGAGTTATCATTTTGTAGGTTTTATAGACGATGAGCTATTCTAGGTATTTATTTGTTTCCAAGACATGTATGCCTAGACGTCCTCGATTCAGTCAGAAAATAGTGTGACATAGTACAACCTTATCTATCACCTCAACTCGCGTGAACCATATTCACATTTTACAAGCGATCTGTTCACACTGATTTGGCATTTGATGCGTGGCGCTCCAAGCCAAGCTCTCATGCCTTCTACTCGAACGTCCTTCTTAATTGGGATTGCTGGATAAATATCCTTCCAGGTTCTTATAATCCACACCCCCTGTTCAACACAACAAGATCATCATCCTTCTGTATGCGGGGCTCCACACGCCAAACTGCAAACGGATTACAACGCACGGGTACGCGAGACTTTTACATGCGCCCAGCCGGTTATCAACCCAGATATGGTCATGCAGAACCTACAATAAGAAATTATATTGGCTGGATGAATAGAACGTGGGATTTATCCATGTAAAGATGTAGACAATTTAACCAGGGTATCAGAAATCTGGGGGTGGGGATTCTGAAGTTAAGAGGGGATATACTTGGCTCCCTTGGCCAATTGCTGGCCAAGATGGAAGATAGTTATGGAGATATCGGTCTCGGTTGCCAGATGGAGAATCGTTTCTCCTTTGGGATGATGGGGTATAGGGTAAATTGGATGATATTATATGGTTGTATTCGACCACATTTGTGATGGCAGACTAAACCTCCAGAGGCACGACTTTCCTGCAGAGGCTCAACTTTTTCTTCGTACGCGTTGTTATTGAAATCGACACATCGAGACTTTTATTACATTTTTGGTGTCGATGAGAAACATTCTGATTGAAACAGCTCAATCATTTCTCAGATTACACGAATAGACTCGTCAAGATGGCGGTCGGACTTGGACAAAGGTTTTTGATGAAGATTGTGAAGAATGAATCTATGAGAACGTATGTGCAGAGACCTTGAACTAATTGAGAATTGACAATTGGTACTAACTTTTATATGGCAGTGACCCGTAAGCATATATGCGTCTTCACGAAATTCTCTGAACTAAGTGAAATCTCTGAATAGCCCGGAAATCTATGGATGGAGAGTTTTCTTCTTAGCATGTTCCGGTATGCGCACAAATTTTGCGGACTCGAGAAGAAATGTGATGGCAGAATATTCACTAACCTTTACACAGCTTGTTTCGGTGGCATGCTTTTTGGTTGGGGTACGTTAAAATCAGGATTTGAAAGCTTGAATACAAGGGATACTGATTCGCATAGATATTGGTACAATTGGAGGTGTTATTGTTATGCCGGCTTTCACCAAGTATGTTGACACTCCTATACTACACTGAGTAATTTATTGACGATAATAGGAAATATCATATCGACACGCTTAGTAGTGTTGCGCAAGCGAATCTTGCATCGAATAGTGAGTTTTGAAACATGAGTTTGGAGCTTGATTCTAATAACAAATAGTCGTCAGTACATTGCAAGCAGGTTGTTTCTTTGGATCACTGGGTTCCTACTATATTGCAGATCGATGGGGACGAAAGGTAATGACCCCTATGGGATTCATAAAGTCAATTTACTGATAAGTTAAAGCCCGCGTTACTCCTTGCTGCCGGTATCACGATTCTAGGAGTCATTATTCAATGTGCATCAGATGGGCATATGTGAGTGAAACTGACATACAAGTTTTGGCCGATGGCTAAAGATTTATAGTTCAGCATTGTATGTCGGTAGATTGGTTGGAGGACTAGGTGTTGGAGCTGCTAGTATGCTTACACCACTTTATGTAGGTTCCACCGAATTCCTCCTCTTTTTGAGATTCCAAATTAATCAATTGATTGCCTTCAGGTCAGTGAAAATGCACCAAGAGCTATCAGAGGTGCTCTCACCGGAATGTATCAATTATTCATTGCTACTGGGACTATGTTGAGTTTTTGGATCAACTACGGCGCCTTATTACATCTCAAAGGCGATACAGCATGGATCGGTAATGCTACCCCTTTAAGGCTTAAATATAGCGAGCGGAACACTAACTTTTTTATCCCTTAGTTTCACTTGCTTTACAAATGTTGCCAGCAATTTTCCTATTCGTAGGAATCTTCTTGTGCCATGAATCTCCTCGATGGTTAGCTCGCCAAGACAATTGGGAAAAGGCTACTGCAGTCTTGTCAAAAGTCTCTAAGTAAGATACTTGCTATCTTCATGAAACTTTTGAAAGCACTACTAACCCAAACAAGTCTACCACCAGATCATCCATACGTTCGCATGGAATTAGAAGAAGTATGATCCCACCACCCGGCTAGTTGAAATCTTACTAACTCTACCTTAGATGGCCGAACAACTCGAAAACGAGCGTCGACTAATCGGCGGCGCTAGTTTCCTTGATCTCATGAAAGAAATGTGGACAATAAAAGGAAATCGCAACCGAGCATTGATATCCATAGGATTAATGATCTGTCAACAAATGACTGGCACCAACGCCATCAATTACTACGCTCCAAAGATCTTTTTGAATCTCGGCATTGACTCCACCACATCCGGACTATTCGCAACTGGTGTCTACGGAATTGTAAAAATGGCAACCTGTGCTGCTTTCCTCCTCCTAGCCGCCGATTCTCTTGGAAGGAGAAAATCTTTACTCTGGACTAGTATTGCACAAGGATGCGCTATGTTTGTTATTGGTTTCTACGTGCGATTTGATCCGCCGCTTAAGGGTGCTGTCATACCTCCCGTAGGATATTTCGCTTTGACTTGTATCTATCTATTTGCTGGGTTCTTTCAATTTGGATGGGGACCTTGTTGTTGGATTATTGTTAGTGAGATACCGACTGCGAGATTGAGAGCGTTGAATGTAGCAATTGCGGCAGCGACCCAGTGGTTGTTCAATTTTGTTGTTGCGAAGGCAGTTCCTACTAGTGAGTATTTCCTCTTTCTTTCCCCGACTTTGTATATTCTTCTTCACATTCCCTTATCCTAATTGTCTCAATATCGTTTTAAATCAACTGACCACCAGAAAGTGTTGGTAACAGTCGGCCGTGCCGGGTACGGAACTTACTTCATCTTCGGCACCTTCTGCTTCAGCATGTTTTTCTTCGTTTGGTTCCTCATCCCTGAAACTAAAGGTCTCTCGCTTGAAAAAATGGACGATCTGTTTGGCGTTACTGCAATGGCTCATAAAGGAGATGTGGAATCAAATACTGGATCGCTTAGAGGAGGCCCTGGTACTAATGTCAACACCAACAATGAGAAAGCCGCTGCTACTATTCCTGACGTCGAAGCTGGTAATGACAATCTGAGGAAGAGAGAGGTTACAAATACCACGACTGAGGAAGAACATATTGAACACGCGGGTGCACCGAAAGCGCAGGTCCAAAATTAAAGTCCATAATTCACAGGGGCTGGTAAGGAGAAGGGAGTTGGATTACGAGTCGGTGCGGGGAGTGAGAGGGTATTGACGTCTACGAGACAGTTTGTGGGAAAGGAAAAGGATAAGAGTGAGACGGGGAGTGTGAGTGATCAGATGGGATATTGTTATTAAAGAGTTATGATTCAAGTTGTTGTTCTCTCTTCATAGTATGGCATGGCATGAAGAGTTCTGCGGGCCAATGGGGACTTGTCATTGGGAAGAGGGGGTCGAGAGGAGGTACTGTTATGATCACATTTTATGACGGTTGCGGATATCAATGCACTTTATATACCAATTTCATTGAGTACATCAAATAAATCTATTCACTCGGTCTGATAACCTGCTTTGTCACATGTCAACTCACTCCCGACGAGTTTATGGAGATCTTTTAGATGCTGGGAGTCAAGCCTTTTTCTACTAACAAATATTAACTATATGAGGGGAACATCAATACCTAGACGCCGACGCAAGTAATGGCCAACTATGAGTGGAGAAAATGTAATCTCTACTCATGATTCTTCTACATTGCCTCTGGTAACGGGAGCCATACTCGGCTACCCTGTCCCATTCATCTTCGAAGTACCGCTAAACCCTCTTCTCCCACTTTCTCATTCCAAACCATTTATAAACACCTCTACAAAGAGGTCTCCAAATATTCCTCTCGCAATCAAAATAGACATATCCCAAACCCATCAAAGCACCACTCAAATGCGCCTAAACAATTCACATTAGCCACATTTCATCTGAAAATTCTCAGAAATTCTTACCGCGTGTCCCAATCTAAGAGTTTTATAAGCACCACAAACACCCAGTAAATCAAACAACATAACTGCACCCAACAACTCCTGCGCCGCAAACGGATACGGGATAAACAGAATTTGAAACTGAGCTTCTGGGTGTTGCATAGCAAAAGCACCAATCAAAGCAAATATCGCACCGCTCGCTCCCAAAAACGGTACCGGCGCGACATTCGGTCGAAGTCCTGCACTTAAAGCTTGTGCCCAACTACCCACAACACCCGTTGAGAGATAGAAAGCCGTCATGTGAGGAATACTCGATTTGAAAGAGGGATCTTGTCCCAAGGCCGGCATGAAAGAATGGAATCCATACATATTCATACCCAAATGCGCAAGTCCCCCATGACCAAACACACAGGTGAGCAAGGTGAAGTTTCTATTCATGCCGGGTGTATGCATGAAGATGTTGGACCATAATCCTGGAGCTAGACTACCCAGAGCATGGATTCCTATATTCGTCGCCATGATGGTGTATGTGAATTTTTCCGAGGGCATTAATCGATTCCAGAATTTTTCGCGTCCCTGTGGACTGGAAAGTTGGTGGATGGGTGGCCATGGGGTCGGAGCATATAGTATTCCTGGAGGATAATTCATCTCGTGCATTTTGCGTCTTACATCGTATGTGTTTCCCTCGTTTCGGATCAACAGATCCATGATTTTGGGTGTCTCTTTTTGGAGATTCAGATTCTCGTATATGGCCGAGGTGGTGTATATGGTACTGACGGCGACCACGGTAAATATAGTCAGTGCAGCCACATTGGATTGAACTGGAGGGGTTGGTTGAGGAGGTGGAGGCGGCTCAATATTAAGCTCTTGTGAGGAATCATGACTGTAGTTTGTAAGAACTCTAGTTCGGAAACTTCTTGCACTCAATGGACGTCGAATTGGTGTAATGCGTGAAAGAATCCCTGAAGGCTTGAAAAGCCCAAATTTTCGCATCATTATTAAGATGTAAATTGGGAGTAAGTAATCTGGTGTCTTTTATTGCATCGAGAGAGATTATTATATATACTTCTTATCCTTGACAAGTACGTAAATCGCATCCTCGCCGTACCATGCTGTTGGTCATTCATATTGCTTCAGGGTCTCCATCAATAATTCGCTCTGGCACGTGATTGATCTTAGCGTATGAACGCTATTTCGGAACTACGATACGGTACGCCACCCGGGCTGTATCGGCATTTGGATAAGAAATTGCCTCCCCTTTACCAACCGAACAATCGTTCGTCAAATTTCATTAGCTCAGCAATGTAGTCACGGGAATTATAATTCCTGGACCAAGTTATCTTGTCAATCATGTTCGTTGACTGCTATCAAAAGATCTGGAGCTCGACTAACCTATCAAGGGAGTTTGTGAGAAAAATCATGTATGAACAAGTCGAAGAATAGAATAAAATGAATCAAAATGCCAAGCAAAATCATCATGATAAGACAACGCGTGCTAGCTCCCAAACTGATAATAGTGTCCCCCAAGCACACCCCTTAGTTAAGTCTCTAAATTGTAACCCCATCGAAACTACTTAACTCCCCACAATTCACAAACTTCCTGACCTCAATGTTTCAATCTTCCTCCTAACTCCATGCAATTCCATTCTCGCCTCAGCAATTCTCATCGCATCCTCAAGCTCTGTCTCCCGTCTCCTTTCTTCCTCTTCACACCTCTTGATGTCTGCCTCTGGAAATTTTACATCTTCGTCGACTTTCAACTGTGGCTTCTTGTCCGTGTCGGTCTCGGTTTTGATCACTGGGACAGAGGAAGAGGTGGATGAGTAGGTGGCAATGAAATCGGGGGATGAAACCCATCTGTCGAGGTCGATGACTGGAATAACTGAGGAAGCGGTCGCTTCAGTGATGATCGAGGGCATATTGGCGGCTCGTTCGGTTGAAGACTCGATTTTGGATGGGGTATCAATGATCAATTGAGTGGCAGCCCACAGCTCGGCAGAGTATACACCTCATCGATAGTTGAACTAGATTTTATCTCAGAACTCTTGATAATTGAGGTCTCCAAAACAGGAATAACGTGTGAATTGGAAGAAGTAATCATTGGTGAGCTAGTACTTGGGGTATCCATGGATGATGATTCAAAGTTTACAGGAGTAGAAAGCACCGGAAGTGCCTCTGCGGGATAGGATGATTCAATCCGAGATGCCTCGGGCTTTACACTAGATGAAAGCGAGACTGAAGCATTTCCAAGTGAAGAAGACACAGTAGTGGTGATGAAAGAGCTGGTTGATCCTGCACCAGACTTTGATGGATCGGCTGCTACAATCATCCGGGAATTATCAAGATCCAGGGGATCCGTCGAGTTTTCTTTTTCAGAAACAGACGATTCGACACATGTTGGGCTCAAAAACGAGGGCCTTGTTGACTGTTCAATGGCAACTGGTTGACTGTTCAATGGCAACTGGACTATGATGCATCGCCTCCTCGCTCTTCATATATCCCATCATTCGTTTCCTCTTCGAGGATGGAAGCTTCAATCTAGACAGATCCGCAACTCCGGCTGGCCGTTTAAGTGCCTTGGAAATGGTCTTGGTAGATGATTTAGGAACTGAACTTCTTGTCGAGCTTGACTTGGATTTGGAAGATTTTTTTGTTGCGAGTTTGTTGACATGATCATTGTTTCTATGCTCGGTCTGAGAGCTCATGGATAAAGGGGTATTGAGACTTTTTGCAGGTACCTCAGAAAGAGACGTGATAGTCAGCCTACTACCAGTTGTTGTACATTGGCTCTGTGGCTCTTGTATTTGCCCATGCACGGTGAAGGCTATTCAGAAACGCGCCAGGACTTATCTTATTTATCATAGCTGGATTGAGATCTCCAAAATTACGGCCGTGAGTAGGTTGAAAATGGTCAAGAAACTCTCTGTCGCTGACGAAATCCTTGCCACATTCTAGACAGAGGACTCTTTCATTGACAGGCCCGAGTACATCGGTAAAAGATGCAGAGACACAACCTAAAATTGAGACTCCCGGTGGGTCAGTCTTTGCAGACCTTTTCACTGCTGAATCCATGCCTGCGACAGTTTGAGTAGGTTTTGGTTGGGCAGGAATCTCTGGTTGATACATCGGGGCGATTGCTAGTTTAGGCGAGGATGCTGTTGATTCTGAAAATGTAGACGGACCAGGGTGTGTGAGAGATCGAATGCATATCTTCTCAGAAGACTTCTCCAATCTTTTCGGTACACTTTCTAATTTAATGGGGGCTTCTTCAGACTTGCCAACAAGTTCTGAATCTTCTGGCATCTCTCCTCTGTCAAGAAATCGACGCCTCTCCTATTTCAGGTAAGTTGGGGGTCATACACATGCTAATTTTTTGTTGCAATATACCTGCAACATTTTAAATGCTCTTGAAGTTTCATATGAATACAATTTATGCCATGAGCGCCAGTAATCTGGTAGGTTTTCACGAAGTTGATCCTTTAGTGCATCGGTAGCTACTTTGTTAGGCTTCGGACCAAGTGCTTTAAACTGATGGGACCAAATCTGCTGGAAATCATGTTTCTGTTACAAGTTTAGTACATCACTCTAGACATAAACTGGAAATCAGCTCACCGAAAGCTCTCCATATGCTTTCTCTCGTTCTCTGGGAGTTAAAAAAATCCCAGGGTTGTCGAATTAGAGCAATAGGGGTCTGGGCTATAGCCGTGGTATCAAAGAACTCTGATTTCGTCAGTCGAAATCTTGAGTCCATGGATCTGTGTTACTTACTCTCACCCCGCCACAAGTAATAGAGATTCTGTGTATCACTGTACCTGAAAAGCTTTTTAGTGTTTGTTGGAGGGGTCAAGTATACCTCAATGTCTTCGTTTGGGATTGCAACTCCATCTACTAATCTGAAAAAAACATTTAGTGTATATATCACCACTGAATCAATTGAAAATTTACCTCAACTTGTGTGTAATGTTATGTTTCTGTTAAACTTCACGATGAACAAGAGTTCTTTTCAGAGTATCCAAAGAACCGTTACCATCAGTTCTAGCACAGCTTTCTACCTGCAACGTATGTTCTTTGAGCTTCAGGTCGAATTCTTCCTTGGTCAATGGAATATCGCCAGCTCCCTTATACTTGCATATACCGATGCAGAGTCCTTCTAGCATACGGGGGTAGCGACGAGTTTCGTTAACTCCAGACTTGATGAAAATCATTTTCTATTCGTTTTAGACCAGCAATTGCATATTCGAGGATATGGCACATACCTGGTACTAGTGGTGCTAATTTCATGAGAACTTTAGACCTCAATTTTCCGTCAATTATTGCGTGGTCAATAGAATCAATCAAAATTTTCTGATCTTGCTGACTCGGCTCCTTCGCATTGGACTTTGGGTATTTCTTCTGCCAAATTAGATCCCCGGAATTGACATCTGACAGCTTTACCATAACACCATCATAATATCCATGGTTGAAGCCGCATTCAGGGTGATTTCTAGACCAAACTCTTCTTCTTTTGAAAAGATAAACCGCGTAAGTTCTCCTGTTTGGGGTCTTTTTTCCAACTTCCATATACTCATCCAGGTATTGCGATTTCTTACTATCGGAATGTGGCAGACGAACAGAGAAACGTTCATATGACTCTCCTAAAGAAGCCGCCATGATGCCTTTGAGTTCTTGAGTAGGTGTATAGTGTCAGAAGCTTTTGAAATCGTGATGTAAACTGCTAGAGAGTACCGATATGTGCCGATGAGTGGGAAGGTTTCTAGAGAATTGTCAATCCACTAGGATCGCAGGATTTCTGAATAATTATCAGAAAACGGCGCAAGAAATAGATACTTGCTTTGGTTTCAAGTCCGTAGAATGAGATTGTATACTGTCTAAATCTCATGTGTGTTGGAGGGTTAAAAAACGCTAATTATGGTAGATAAAACCTTCAATAGAATTGAAAGTTTATGTCCAAAACGAATCATATAATGGAGAGAATTTATTTGCAAGATTTTGTGAAAGGTAATCGATGGGTTGTGGAAGAGATGAGTAGGGGAGACGACGAGGAAGAGAAAAAACATAGACTTGGTGGTAGATGTGATCAATTTATGAGAAAGTGAACGAAGAAAAACACCAATATCATGAGTATTAGATTTAGTGGATCTTAACAAGAATTGTAATACAGTGACGCCCACAAATTCAGAGACGTTCCTTCCCAGACTAGCATAGGGGTGCGATGCAAAGGTGAATCCAAGATACTCTTATCTGATGATGCTAACATACATTGCATTGTCTCTCAATCGCTTCACGTCATTTTACAAATATCTTCTATCCTCGCGAACACTTCCGAGGTATTTGCAAAAACCTCAAACCTCGAGATCTTTCCTCCCTCCTCTCCATCTTCTATGAGAAACATTTTTCCCAAAACTGGTATCCTGATTTCCCTCTCTTGTGGATCATTTTTGACAACATACGTAATGAAAACAGATTGGTAGATTTTGTTTCCAATTCGATCTAGCACACATTGATTACTATGACTTCATCACTAGTAGTTGAGACGGGGTTACATACCAACATCGACAAGCTCATGTTTCATACTTTTGAGCAGAGGAAAGACACCCTCGAAGAACAATATGCACTTTTGATTAGATTGGTGATCAAGATACAGTTTGCAGCCTGTAGAATAAAGAGTGATGGGTATACTTTTCTGATTCCATCTACTCCTTCCACTTCCTCTTCGTTTCCATATCTCAGTGTGGCATTCTTACCATAGAACTTCTCGAGACCATTTGTAGTCAGGGAATCAGCTGTTGCATGGAACTATTAAGTGCGTTAACTAATTTGCGTAACGGGACAAATCCACGAATATGGGTGTTGGTATATATACCTCGAGAACCAAACGCTTCTGTTGCATTCCTAGTAGCGTCCTCGGAAATCCCCATTGTGTATATGTCTAAGGAGTAATATCCCCACTAAGTCAGTCTGAGTCGCAGTACTTGAGGTCTTCAGCTGAAGACTTATACCTCTCGTTGATATCACGTGCACGGATACTTCTCGGATACATTTGATATTTGCTGATCAATCACCCACAACCGGGGTTGGGTCCATTTGGGTTTTGAATCTGTAGGGCGCTAAACTTTATAACATGGCGTTTCTTAAGGCACAATAAAGAAGTGTTGAAGATTCACAGTGATGATGTGCGTCACTAAATTAATCATTCTTAAGCCAATGCATCCATATCTGCTTGAATGCTTGGTTAAGTCTGTTTGCACAAGGTGGAATCACAGGAGAATAATGAACTGTTCAGTTGATAACTTCTCATTTGGAATTCCACAATTGGAGATTAAGTTTACTTCGGGAGCTTCAAGTTTGATTTCGCTCCACACTTATGTCACAAGAAATTATTGAAATGACCAAATCGACTTGAAAGATATCGCTTAATATCAATTCTGATCGTATTTCTCCCCTATAACAATCAATCTCTTGACTACCAGGCTCTCCTATCTTTATCTTGTCGTCCCAACTTCTTGGGTACTCAAGCCTTTCTCTCTGGGCCTGCTGATCAACTCCAAATCATTTTGGGATTCTCGTGCCACTTGATATTCTCCAGCGAAGTCTTTAGTTGCCCCTGCAACCCGTTATCCCCCAGAAGCATATCTTCAGGTTTGAATCCTTTAGTGCCGTACTTTTGTAAAAAGTACTCATCCTGATGAGACCACTTAGACCAGTGCCCTTTGTAAGGCTTTTTCTCCGGATGACTTCTTATTTGTGCTCCTCGTCTGGCTTCCTCAGCTCGTCTTTTTTGCTTCTTTTCGTTTTCCTCTTCTTCATTCTGCTTTTCTAGCCATTTGTTCCAAGCTTTTTCTGCGTCATCCACTCCAGCTCCGCAACCGTTCTTCAACGAGTCTAACCGGTCCATTCGACGCTTCTTTCGTGCCGTAAGCTTACTTATCTCTTCAAGCTTATCTGCAAGAGCTTTCGATGCCTTCTGCAGGTCTTTCATGGCCTCTCGAAAATTACTTTCATGCGCTTTGAGGCCTGTGTTTCCATGGTTATATTTCGAATCTAGGGAAAGGTCGAACTGTTTCAGATCTTTGACAAGTTGGTCGAATTCCGGGTATGTTGTGAGGAGATTCGCTGAGCCAGCATCTGATGTACTTGAAGATTTATTGTGGTCAGAAGACCCCCGTTTTGATTTGTGTTTAGAAGATGGAATCAATGACATGATGACACAAGTTGATATGAGGTTTGATCGTGAATGGAGATGAGTTATCGTTTTGTATCTCGGTTAGTGGATGAAGATGATTGAAAGTACTTGATTTCGGTACTTTTAAAACATGAAATTTCAATCTTATATATCTCAAGTGATGGCCTATTTAAGTCAAATACCGTTGGTATTCATCATCTTTCAAAAGACCTATCCAATGATTTCAATCCAACAAGAATACAAGCTTAAGCTCCCAAAATAGATCTTATATGGCGATAAAATGATATTCTGGAGCGTTCATAAGGCAGCAAGGCCCCGGAGTACTGCGTCGGGCGGCCTGTAGCCGTCTTGCGCCCGTTCCAGATTCTTTATGCTTGAATCAGCAACTCAAATGTGGCTCCAGCCTTCATTTAACTCTTGAGCATTTTTTAAGCTAATGTTTGTTACACAAGAGAGGTTGACGAATGATGTTCTGTGAGACTGAACCATACGCAGTCAATTTGAGCTGCTAGATTGAATCCGGATCGATATGGCCAATTAACTATAATTATACCAATTGCAGTGACATCAACTTGATCCGTATCAAATTTATTTCGTACAATGTAGCTAAAAACTTAAGCAAGACATTTGCTTGGGGTGGGTAGAACTTTCTCCCCTCACTACAAGGTCTGGAGGTGGGATATCTGATCACAGCTGTCAGTTGGTGTTGCTAATTGGTCATTGATAGACAGTTTGTGAAATTCCACATCTTGTAACGTCTGAGTGCATCTCGAAACTATTCATATCTCACAAGATAGAATTGAAGAATAATTCTGATAAGTTCCACTGGCATGATGTATATGATATTCGTCGAAGATTTTAAAATCACGGCGCGGAAATATTATTTCGCGAACCGTAACCTTACCGACGTTCTGGCCGCATCACAGCAAAAGCATCATCCCCTTCAGTAAGCTACTCAGCTACCCGACATAGCAATCCTCTGCAACCTCACCAACTCATCACTTATACTCTCTCTACATTTGCGATTACAGAACACACACTCACTCTCGCAAATTATCTACCCCAAAGTAATTCTGCACAATTTACTTATCCTCATACAATCCTTGCAATCACCACATCCACTCAACTCTACATCCTCCTTGCGCAAACCAAAACAAGTCACACCAAATCATTCGTACCTTGGCCTGCTATTAACAGTTCATAAAAATGTCCTTCGAATCGCCTCTTCCACCCTACAATGCCTCCGACCCCACGGCCACCTTCCTCAATTCCTCCTGTTTGGACCTCCTCCTTATCGAACTCGTCCCTCTGGCCTACCGTACTGTACACGCACTTGATGCGCCTTCTTCACCCTCTTCGTCCTCTCCAGATCCATCTGCGCCTCCAAAAATGGAAGAAGAAGAAGAACGCGAACGAGTATTTTACCGTCTTGAAAGTCTCGGATATCGTGTTGGATTGGGTCTCGTGGAGCGGTTTAGTAAAGATCGACCTCGCTTTACAGATACATTGGATGTTATTAAGTTTCTGTGTAAGGATTTGTGGATGTTAGTATTTAGGAAACAGATTGATAATCTGAAAACGAATCATAGGGTATTTTCTCCTCTTTTTTGGGTGCAACGGAAAATTGTTTGGTTGGCACAGATAAATTGATACTGACATGGGGGAATAGGGAGTCTACGTCCTGACAGACCATTCATTCCGGCCCTTTGCGCGCATGAGCACAGAGCCAGGCGGAAATGCAGTTATACGCGCTCAGCCTGTTAGTATCTCTTGCTTGTTCACACACGCCTCCAAAATTCGCAATGCAATGAGCTAACACTTAACCATTCAGTTCTTATACTTCCCCTGCGGCATAATTCGTGGAGCTCTCGCTTCAATGGGTATAAATGCTACCGTTCAAGCGGAAACAACTGAATTGCCGGGTGCTACATTCCAGATTAAGAGCATTGTTAATACTACCACGGGGAAATGATGATTATATTTGGATTATTGGAAACAATATAATAAATTCTGCTATTGCTGTCAGAACCACACAATAGGTCGGCCAGCTGTAATATGAAGAAGTGATGGGCTTTAGAGAATCCCTAATATACACTACCCAGAGCCGGATGCCAAGAGAGCACGAGAAAAATAAAGATATACCATACCACAATGTACATCATAGTACAATAATATTTGCGACTTAGCGATTTGCGATTTAGCGAGATGGCATCGCAAGGTATGGAACCGAATTAGATGATGATTAGCAAGGCGTCATAGGAAGGGACTGGTCAAACTAGGAAACAGCACGGTTATGGTAGTAGACATATCCCGCCGTCGATGTTGTCGTCAGGATCTCAGGCAATGGGCCACAGTAGATTGCCCAGAAGATCCACGCTATCAATGTAGTGAGGTTTTACTGTGGGGAATAGCAAGAGAGATGGCCCCTAAGCAGGCACATCATGGCCAGATGCAATTAGGAGAACTCACGTACGTTGAATACAATATACTTGGAGGTCCTCATATCGCATTGTTTCACAATAAAAGCAAAGTCAATTGCTACCTGCACTCACATCTTAATGGTCCATTCACCCTATCTTATTATGGTAATTTCCTTTCTCGCACTCTAGATTCTAGATGAAAAGAGGGCGAGGGCGAGGGCGAGGGCAGGGGAATGTAAAAACAACAGGCTTCTCTCAGACCTCTTGAGTAGATAGCCTCCACAAACCAAATAATCCCATGATTTTATTTTCTCCCTTCCTCCCCTCTCCGGACTTTAGGCCTTCCCACTTCATTCCACGAATCCATCTATTCAGTCATTAAAACTGGCCATAATCATATAAATAACAGCCGTCAATTTCCAGATTTGCAACAAAACCACACGTCCAGCACCTGATCACTTTCTAAGCACATAGGAAATCTTGAGCACTTGATAATTATAAAAATAACGAACCGCGCTTAGATATGCAAGAAAGTACTACTTTCCTCTACCAAGAGGATAATGCAGAGGGCCGAACCCTTAATATTTATAAAAATAACAAACCGTTTCCCTTAGATATGCAACAAAAAACTACCACCACTCGCTAGCTACTCCTCCATTCTCGAGTATCCAATAACCATAAAAATAACAACTCATTTCCCTTACACAGATAAGCAACAAAAAACTCCTGCTAAAACTACCCACCATCTAGCACTCCTCTCCTATCATATACTCAGCGATCATAAAAATAACAGCAATCTTTCCTAGATATGCAACAAGACTGATCAATCAAAGCCTCAATGTACTTTCTTCTTTCGCGTCTTCTCGCAATACTCGGCTAGATTCTGTTGTATATCTACCTACCTATTAGATTGTTTCAATTCTAGTCTAGATTATATTTATGAGGGGAGGGGGGAAAGGGGGGGAAGGGGAATATTTACCGAAGAGGATTAAATTCGTAAGAGTTAGCTAGCTAGCAGCCAGGTTATGAGATTCAATTGTTGGGTAGGAGGGGGTTAGCTAGGTATTATAATCTTTAATCTTCAAAATCGTTGGGATATTGTTTTGGGTCTTGCAAATGCTCATCATTCACAACTCACTTTGATCAGGAACTCCTCGCTGCCAGATCTAAAATCCATATTGTTGAACACCTAGAATAACATGTAGGAATGATGGAATAACTTATTTTCCCTATAATAATGTACACACAAGTGGGTATTATAACCCCTCTTCTTCTTTCAAATAATGGTTTCGATGTTGACAAATGAAATAAGGAGAAGAAGAAAAAATTAACGAAGGAAAGTATTGTAGGAGTATAAAAGAAATGTGCCTTCGTACTGGCACGTAGTAATTCCCGGATAACTATGATGCCGGGTTCAAAACCTCAAAACGCCATTTTCACTTGCTTGATGACATCCAGTACCAATTCAAGTCCGTCGCTAAAAAAATCAAACACTTTCCGTGCCTCCCAGATCCCATCCCCGTCCAAGTCCTTTCCGGTCTGTCCTGCTCATCCTTCCTGGGTATATCTCCGATCCGTATTCCAATTCAATCGCCTGTCCTCTCTCGTTCTTCATCTCTCTCCTAATTTCTAGTTTTCTCCAGAATTTGGGACTTTAGCCATATTGAAATAAAAACCCTCGATAAGACAGTCCTTCGCATCGTGTCTCTTGGCCAAACAAGCTTGCTCATCGAAGAACGTATATCCATATCTGCTCTCCCTCTTTCTTCACGAAAAGCTCACAAACTTTGGATCCCTCGGCTTCCCATCCGGTCCAATATTTTCTCTCTTGAAACTTTCCTGCATCCACAGTCTCCTCGCCTCATCAAAGTTGACCTTCTTTTTCTTCATGATTGACTGGATTTCTCTTTTTCCATTATCTGAAAGTCCATTTCGTGGATCCGAATCTAGGAGATTTTGAGAGAGATTGAAGTTTGAAGAGGTCAAACCAGATTCAATATCGTTTTCGAAGGAATGGGGAAGTGCGTGATAGGGCGTGTACATAAATCGGGGGAGACGCTCGAGGCAATGTTCGGGGATGTATGGAGACCAGCGATCGCGGGTTATAAAGGCGACTGGAATGGTGTTAGTAATTTGATTGTCTCAAATAGTTTATCCTGGGAAAGTAAAACTTACTAGTAGAGATAACAAGGAAAATGAAGACGGTCGTATAGAGTATATATGCCATCTTGACCTTTAATGTCGCCGGAGCCTTTTGAATATCATGCGCAGTTGGTCAACAGTTGTAGAATTCTTGATCTCCAAGTCTCTTTTCAACAAATCGTATTGGTGGTCGCAAAGGTGTTAGGTGATGGGTGATACAAAAAAGGAAAATAATTTAAGTAGAATAGGTAGTCATTAAGAGAAAGAAAGAAAAGAATCTGGCGATAACCTCGCAGCTCATCAGTTGATGCCCGCCTTATCCGAATAATTTGAGTGTATTGAATTTCTCTAACCGTCCAAACCTCACAGCCACCTTTCCGCATGCGATTGAGTCTTGGCTCGAGCTTGGAAAAGTGACGAATGCCTTCCTGCATGCCTTATTTATGCAGCTCTATG